AGAGAGAGAGAGAGAGAGAGAGAGAGAGAGAGAGAGAGAGAGAGAGAGACAGAAACAGAGACAGAGAGACAGACCGACCTAGACCACAGGAAGACCAACAGAGTCAACTAACCTGGACCCTGGACCCTTGGGGGCTCCCAGAGACCAAAGAGCAAGCATGGGCTGGACCTAGGCCCCCCCAAACACATATGTAGCAGATGTACAGCTAAGTCTTCATGTGGGTCTCCCAACAACTAGAGTGGAGGCTATCCCAAAAGCTGTTGTCTGCCTGTGGATCCTGTTCCCCTAACTGACCCTCCTTCTCTGGCCTCAGTGGGAGAGGATACACCTAGTCCTGTAGTGACCTGATGTGCTAGGGTGGGGTGATACCCAGGGAGGGCCTCCACCTTTCAGGGAAAAAGGGGGAAAGAATGGGGGGAGAAGTTGTATGAGGGAGAAACTGGGAACCGGGGGGGGGGGAAAGAGTGGATATTGGGATGTAAAGTGAATAAATAATGAAAACAAAAGAAAAACAAATGATATAGAGTTTGAAAACATACTGCACAATAAGCAACTTACCAAAGATTCCCCAAGTGAATGGGTTAAATGAATATTATTTATATATTCTTGCCCCTTCTCATCCAATAGATATTTACACCTAAAAGATTAAAGAAAATTAAACTCTATTAGCTGTTAAATTAGTGAAGTATTAGTGAAGGCAGGCTCTATCATATAAATTCCATTAACTATCTTTTTGGGGCCAAAGAGATGGTACTTTCTGACAAGTCTGATGCCTGACTTCAATCTCAGGAGCTCACAGGAGAGAACAAACTCTTCCAGACTGTACTCTAACCTCTAACTGTGCATTATTTGATGTACATCCCCCACCCATACAACAAATAAAGAAGTAAAACCAATCTTTTCATTGTTATTGTCTTTTTGTATGTGTTACTGGGGATTAAACTAAGGGCCATGAGCATGCTAAGCAGGCACCCCATCACTGAACTATAACATCAGTTCCCACCAGAGGTCATTCTGAAGCTGGCCTCAAGTTTGCTACGTAGCCAAACATGACCTTGGACTTCTAATCCTCCTGCCTACATATCTCAAGTGCTAGGATGATAAGCAGGAATAACCATTAAATCACCCTAGTCTTTTAAAAACAGCTTTTTATTTGAGATAGGGTCTTTCTAAGAAATCCAGGCTGGCGTTGAGTATACTTTGTTGCATAGACAGGCCTTGAAATTCCCATCCACCTATCTCACTGGACTCCTAAGTAGCTGAGATTAAAAGCCTCAGCTTCATTCACTGTTCCTGAGGAGCCATAAAGCACTGCTATCCAATTCATTATCCAGCTATAACTTCAAGGCTAAAATAATGCTATTACACATGCTAATAATAGCAATTTGAGAACTTTCAATTTTCAAGTAAGAGTTACTAAATTAGGAGCCAAGTATGGTGGCATCCGCTTGTAATTTCAGCACTTGGGAGGCTGAGACAGGAAGATTGATATGAAAACCTGGCTACTCTGGACCCCATGACAAAAAAGAAAACGGAAAAAAAAAGTTGAAGTTATTAGCCAGGGATGGTGGCAAGCACCTGAATTATATGCACTTTTTTTTTTGGGGGGGGAGGGGTTTGAGACAGGGTTTCTCTATAATAGCCCGGGCTGTCCTGGAACTCACTCTGTAGACCAGGCTGGCCTCGAACTCAGAAATCCGCCTGCCTCTGCCTCCCAAGTGCTGGGATTAAAGGTGTGCACCACCACTGCCCAGCGGCACAGGCCTTTAATCTCAGCATTTACCACTGCCTGGCCTGAATTATATACACTTAGAAGATTAAACCAAGAACAGAACTTTATTGCCTTCTTTGGTTACATAGTGAACTCCAGCCTGAGCTATAAGAGCTATTATTAAAAAAAAAAAAAGAAACAAACAAAAAAGACAAGCATGGTACCACACCTCTAGATTACTCAAGATGCAGAAGCTGGAGGACTGCCTCATCTACATAGGAATTTTCAGGCCAGTTAAGGCTACATAACAAGACCATAATATCTCAAACAAACTAAACTAAAATCAGGCAAAATAAGCTATTAAATTAGTACCCTAACACTGAATTGTTACTATTTATTTGTTTGTTTTGATATAAGGTTTCTCTGTATAGCTTTGGCTGTCCTGGAACTCCATAGACTATTCTGACCTCAAACTCAGGAGATCCATCTGCCTCTGCCTCCTGAGTGCTGGGATTAAAGCCATTTGTCACCACTACCACTTGGCCAATACTGACATTTTTTTCCTTTTTTTTTTTGAGACAGGGTTTCTCTGTGTAGAATACTGACATTTTTTTTACAAGTTCAAAATGGTTAATCTTTTTAAACTAGTACTGAACACTTAAAAAATTTAGTCTTTGTTTTCTGATTTAACTTGAATGTTGCTTTAAAAAGGTTCTTTTCAAATTATTGTTCTAATGTTTGAAGCTGCATTATTTTATACATTAGAAGTTCACATAACTTATAGAGTTGCCTACTTTACAGAGGCAAAATGACAAAGAGACTGAGACAAGAGGGTTTCAAGATAGAGGCCAGCTTGGAAGACATAGGCAATTTCAGGTCAACATGAACCAATGTGAGACCCTGTCTCAAATGAAAACCCAAACAAACATTATGACCATTCTTCAGGACTTTTCATGACACCATGGGCTCATGCCACTCTCCAAAGAGCCTACTTCTAAATAAAAAGTACCTATTTTTATATACTATGCTAAATAAAAAGCATACATTTTAATAATTTGGTTTTTAGAAATAGAATCATCTTAAGTATCATATGACATATAAGCAGTCAATGTTTTGGTTACCAGAAGTCTTAGGTGGGTTTTTTTTTTTTTGGTTGTTGTTGTTTTTTGCCTACAAAGTAGGTGACCCCATTTCTGTAAACTTGGTGTGAATTTCAAGCCATAGTGAAGGCAAAAATAGTTGAGGTGAAAAGTAATTCAAATATTTCCATTGCACAATGTCCAACTTGCCTAGTACTTAATGAACAATTAAAGATCTTACCCTGGATACCACTTAGCATGCTGTTCCCAAGGGTCTTCACTTGGCTTCCAATCCGTGAGCCCTCCCCCACAGTGAAAGCACTTCACTTTATCGCCTTCACCTAAGAAAACACACAAGTAAAACTATGTGTTTTTGTGCAAGTGCTAAGTTTTCAGAAAAATGCCCATTCTAACATTTAAAGGGTGTCTAAGTTACATAAAACCTCATGGCTTAAAAAACAACATTCACATTCCATCTAGATACGATCATTGTCATTTGAAGGAAAATACATACTAAATTCATCATCTTCAATATAATGTCCTTTGTAGAATACAATCACAGTAAAATCACAGTATTTATGTTAGAAACTACAATTATTACATTCTTTCTAGTGTATGTCATTTGGACCGTCACTATTAACCTTACTTCATCAAACTGAAATTTGTTTAAGTTATATTCTAAATGTTAACAATAATAAAGTTCAGCATAAATTACAAGGTAACTAACTATCTTTAAGGACATGGCTCTCTGATATGAAACAGACCTTTAAGATTACTATGTTATAGGGCTGGAGAGATGGCTCAGTACTGAAGAGCACTGACTGCTCTTCCAGAGGTCCTAAGTTCAATTTCCAGCAACCACATGGAGGCTCACAATAGTCTGTAATGGGATCTGATGTACTCTTCTTATGTGTCTGAAGAGAGCAACAGTGTACTCACATACATAAAATAAATAAGTATAAAAAAGATTACTATGTTATATAACTAAAATAATTTATATCTTGAATTTGGCATTATTTCCCTAAAATAAATGAGTCAGACATGCAGATTAAAATACTCCTAGAAGTCATAACACTGCCTGCTTTTCTTGAGACATGCACAGGACTTGTTTGAAAAGTACTCTGAAGCAGTACAAGCAGCTTCTAAATATGTGGTGTACACTTTAAAGGTAGACGTTAATTTTTGTTTGGTTGGCTTTTTGAGAGATGTAGCTGAAACTGCCCTCAAACTCATGCTGATCTTTCTACCTCAGCTGATAGATTGCTGGAATTACAGGTATGTGGTACCATGCTAGGCCTGATGTCAATTCACCATGAATCAAAGTAAATTCTCTAATGCTACCTATTTTTATGGGATTGTGGTGAAGCTTAGAGAAAAATCCATGTAGTAAGTATTTTGAGTGTACAGAGTAGATGTTCAATAAATGGCAGTTGGTATTACTAATAGATCTATCAGGAATTCATACTATCTTTTCCCTCTCAACTCTAACCTCCCAATCAAGAATTACTTGAACACAGATCTAAGTCATAAAAGCACAGCCTTTTAACATAAATCCAGTAGTTACATTCAAGATTTAACATACGAGTTCAGAGAATGATATTGATAATGAGCAAACTAAAGATGGTTTTCTTTTTAGGAGCCCTGTGACATTTATAAAGTAATTTACTGGTGAAGTTTACCTAAAGCATAAAATCCAGCTCTTGCAAGCTGCTCCTTGTTAACTGAGTATATCCATGTTCCAAAAGTAACGATCCGTGCTTCATATTCTGCCATGGCTGGATTTCTTGGAGAATTTGTTGAATTTGGGAAATTCCTATCAGAACTCACACCAGATTCACTTCGAACATTCCGGCCCAAAACAAAGAAGCAATTGGGAAAGTGTCTCCTGTGCTCTGACCAGGCACGATCACAGGGTTCCCAATTTTTCAGTTTTCCACCACAACAAAAGCATTGCACTTGATCATCGATCCCTGTGTAGAAGAGCCCAGCACTAGCTAACTCTCTGGGGGTTAAATGGGCATAGTCTGGCCAGTTCTGAAATGACTTCAATCTGGCTTCTTCACTACACATGGCAGGGTTCCTCGGGTATACAGTGTCTGAAATATCTACAACCTGTCCAGTTCTCAGGAGATAATCTGCATGAGTCTCAGATGGCCTGTCAAGAGCAAAATGATTTCTGTTTCCCACACAGTTTTCAGATTTGTACTGGCCATTTTGGATACCAGGATTTGTAGACTGTGAGGCACCGTTTTCAAAATAAAAGCCATTGATAAATCTGCAATTTGGGGATATTCTTCTGTGTCTTCCAACAGCTGAGTCTCCATACTGCCATCTATCTACTGCTGCGTGACAACTGAAACACTGCACGGTGTCTCCTTCACCAGTGTAAAGAAAGCCTGCTCGTGCCAATGTTGATGCTGAAACAGGACTGCTACTTGGGAAGTTAGCAAATGTTTTTAATCTACTAAACTCCTCTACAAATTCTTCATCCTTATTGGTGTCTGCAGGTACAAAAGTTCTAGATCCTTCAAAACTGTTAAACGTCATCTTCTCTGGAAAATAGGACTTGTCCACCTTTTCTAAAAAGAGAACATTGCATTAGGAACTTCAAAACACAAAACAAAAGGACTATATTTCTGATACTAAGAACTAATATGTTATCCAGTGATGACACAAAAATAATGGCACAATCACTAAGACACATTTTAATTCTAAACATACTACCAAACCACTTGAGTTTTAAAGTCTGTGCTTTTGATTGTTCTCCATTTTCAGTGTTTGGGCTTCACATACTGCCAAACACATGCTCTAACACAGAACTATGCCCCCAGCCTGTTTCTCTCTTGCTTATTTATTGTAGTCTTCGGGATCCATCACAGGGCCTTTTGCATTTTAGGCAACTGTTCTAGCAATGAGCCTCAACTGAGTCCCATTTTGTCTTTTGATAGAAAATAGTATATAAACAAACAGAGCAGAATTACTGATCTTAAGTATTCATTTCACATAAATATGGAAACTATGACACAGAAAAATGATAAATATTAAACACGTGAAGTCATTAATTAGGAAAAACATGAATGCAGCATAAAATATGCAGATTATTAAAGACTATGCATAATTGTTATAATGAATCATTACATATTCAAGGCATCAAAGTTCAATTTTTTACTATTTAAAAACAGATGGATGTTTAGAATGTTAATGCATCAATTTAAAAAATATTTTTACTTTCTTGCTTAGCAAAACAAAGGTGCTCTAGTGAATGCCATGCTTAAGAGTATATAGGATACACAAATGAAACTTGATGTATTAAAAAAAAGGACACGCGCCAAGTTAGGAGGGTGGATTTGGGAGAAGCTGGGAAGGTACTATGATCAAAATACAATGTATAAAATTCTCAAAGGACTACAAATATTATTAAACAAAAAAGTAAGTATTCACAATATTGGTCACAGCATGTTAAGAATATCAAATGCTTCTCATTTTCATGTGTAGAGTCCACTTTTGCAGGAAGTGGCCCATTCCTTATTTTATATGTATAGACATATACATACAACACATAAAGGGGAGAAACACAGATACGGACACACCTTACACATCCAAACTGCCAGGCAGACAATGCCTTAAGAAACATTCTAAATATTTACAGATACTAACTGAAGTTACTCTTGCTATCATCTTCTGTTGGTCAAGGAACAATCTGAATGAAAAAGAATTTAGCAGCCTCATTGGAGCTGCCAAATTACAACTGTGTAATGTTTAACCCAAATAACATACCAAAAGGAGTCAGCTGGGCTCTGGGAAGAATGGCAAGATTAGTATGTCCTCCAACAGGTCTGAAGGTGCAAAGTAATGCTACTGATAATTGTATAAGGACAGTAGCATAAATCATGGTCGCCTTAGGCAAAGCAGAAGAGTACGTGGTCACTTTAGCTACAGAAAAAACTGGTTCTCCAGAATACTCCACATTGCTATAATGTCCTCAGTATGCTTGCTGAGTATAAAATAAACAAATGGCTAAAACTCAAATAATTATATAGTAAAAATGAAAGATTCTGATGTAAAAATGAAGACACTGGATATAGTCTCAAAGGAGGACATACAGTCAAATAACACATGAAAACACATCAATATCACACCAAAAGCTAGGGAAATAAACATTAAAGCCACAGTGAGGTATCACCCACACTTACTAGGATAGCTATTATTTGAAAGGCAAAAACCATCAAATGGTGCCTGGATGTGAACAACAGGGGCCTACAAACAGGAATGTAAACATTCATTACGGAATACAAAATGGAGGCGTGCCTGGTATGCATTCATGTGAGTGGATATCATCTTCCATCACTCTCCACTTTGTTGAGGCAGGATCTCTCAGACAAACCCAGAGCTCACCATCTGCTTCTCCAAGGGATTTCTTTTCTGCCTCCACATGTACTGAGCCATCTCTCCAGGCCTAAATGGAGCCACTTCGAAGACTAGACAGAGTTAGGGGTTGAAGAGAGAGCTCGGCAGTTAAGAGGAGCGGAGTTCAACTCCCAGCACCCATAGCCACATCCAGCTGCTCCCAATCACCTGGAAGTTCAGCTTCAGCGGATCTAATCCCTCTGGCCTTGGCACCTGAACTCACATGCACACACCCACTCGTACACAGACAAATACACTTGTTTAAAAGTATAGTTTCAAAACCAAGTAGACAATGATGGGGATGTTGCTCAAGTAGTAGAGTACTTAACCAGCATGCTCAAGGCCCTGGGTTCAATCCTCAGCACTACAAAAAACTGGGTGTGACAGAACACCTATAATCATAGAACTCATGAGGTAGAAGTCAGAGGATCAGAATTTCAAGCTCATTTTCAGCTACGTAACAAGGTTTTAGGTCAGCCCATGATACACAATCTTAAAAACAAACAAAGCAGAGACAGCTCTAAAACAGGATCCAGCAGTCTCACCACTGGGCAGATATCCAGGCTAATGAAATCAGTATGTTGAAGAGACACCTGCATTTGCACATTCATTATAGCACTGTATGTATGTGAACTCTGCTTTAGCTGGCCACTGCTGAATCGACAAAGAAAATATGGTATATGTAGATAATATTTAGCCTTATAAAGATTAGAATTCTGCCACTGGCAGCAACATGAATAGAAATGAATGACATTATGTGAAGGGAAATATGTTAGGTACATATGGAAGCTCAAAGGTTAACCTTATAAAACAGCGGTTTAAGGGAACCTGGATGAAGGAAGACTGAATGGAAACAGGATGGTCAATGGGCATAAGGGTGCTGTAGCTGAACAGAAGTACCTTACAATGTTTTCCTCTTTGTTTGGAGACAGCGTTGACTGTGTAACCCAGGCCAGCCTCATATTTACTGTAGAAGCCTCCACAGTCCTGGGACTACAGGTATGTACCAATAAGCCCTGCAGGATAATGAACTTTTCTTTTTCCATGTTTTCCTCTGTGGGGTAAATACGAATAGGTGCAGGCTTGTGCATGTAGAAGTCCAAGGTTGATGTTGGGAATAACCCCAAATTTTCAGTCCACCTTATTCATTGAGACAAGATCTCTAATTAGAACCTAGACCTCACTGATATCTCTAGTCAACTAGCCAGCTTGTACTGGAGCTCCTGGCTCCTCCTGGATTTAGGGGTATACCATCATGCCTACTCAACATTTATTTGGGTCTTAAGAATCAAAGTTCAAGTCCTTATGCTTGTATAGCATATGGTTTAGCCACTGAGCCACTGTTACTAAATGTTCTGTAGTAAACTAGGAAAACTATGATTGACAATAGATAATTCACTACTTTAAAATAGTTAACAGACAAATTTTGAATATTCTCAATGCAAAAAAAAAAACCATGTCTGAAGAGACAATGAAAATTACTCTGATCTTATTTAACATATATTTCCCACGTAATGAAACACCACACTGTATCCCATACTTATGGCTCATCAGTTAAGAGTACTGGCTGCTCTTCCAGAGGACCTGGGTTCATTCAATTCCTATCACTCACATGGCAGTTCACAGTTGTTCCAGGGAATCCAACATCCTCATACACACATACATGCAGGCAAAATACTAATGCATATGAAATGAAAAATAAAATGATTTATGAGGATGTTGGATCCCCTGGAACTACAGTTACAAACAACTGTGAGCTGCCATGTGGGTGACATATATTTAACAGAATACATTTAGGGATTTAGGGGGCTGAGGCAGGGAACATTGGATTAGAAACCAGCCTGGGCCGCATAATGAGACCAAGTCTGAAAATACAAACAAACAAACAAAAAAACCCAGAATGGTCACAATGTCTTGCTTTTGGAATCTTGGGAAGATTTATATAGAACTTTGGGCCTTATGTAAGCACAATATGTCTTAGAACATCAATTCCCTTTGAGTAATTTTAAAAGATGCCTCTCTTGAAAAATGACAATAACCTTCAGGCTTCTGTGGGTTTGCCAGTGCTCACTAGTATTCACATTTCCCTTAAGAGCTGACTTTTATCTATCTCTGAGAAATTTTTTTGGAATACAGTTTTAGATACTTTTAAGTATCATTTTTCAGATGTTTCAAAACATTCTGACAACAATGGTCAAAGTTCTTTATTGAATCAGCATGATAAGTTGGATAATGACATAAAAGATTCAAAGAAACAAAAGGCTAGTTGATAAGCTAGGAAGATGAGATCTACTACAAAAATACGCAACATTTTATATTGTTTTTTTAAAAAGTATTGCACAACTAATGAAATAAATGATTTAGAATGAAATCAAATAAAGGCAAACTTCCAGTTTAAAACCTTGGGATTTTAGTTAATTGCAAATTCATTACAAGCCAACATTACATGGCTACGAAAAAACTCACAGCCTTCAAACTATGTTAGTGTCCAGATGTGGAACATTCATATCCAATTCAGCAACATTATAAATATTACCTCCACTTCCAAACACACTTTAGGAGAGAGACACTGACAAATTCCCATGTCCTTAGAGAACATTCAAGATAACAGTTTATGAGGAATAGTTGGAAGAAACAAGACTATTTATCCCAAAAGAAAGGAAGGTTGACATGTGGGAAAGAAATTCTAATTCAGTGTATTGTTACAGTAGAATTAAGGCCAATGTATATACTTAATACATGTTACTTATTTTTTTGCATTTTAAAATGTGTTTGTGGCCTGACTGTATAGGGGTTGACGTCAAAAGTATCCCCTCTCCAGGAAAAAGACATTGGGATGGGTATGGCCCTCATGCCTCACTGGACGACGACAGGGGGACCAGAGCCATTACAAGGTCCCCTTCAATTACTGGAGGTCAGGCCTCTATCCCCGCCTTCGCAAGATTAGAATTGCCACAGCCCTTCTATACTTAGAGAAGGGAGGAGATGTCAGGGGCAGCCCTGCTTACACACTGAAGGCCTAAAATCAGCCATAGACCTAAAAACAGCAATAGGCCTGTCATACATGTATATTAACACCAAGTCTTGGGTCTCTGTGGAAAAACATTGAAACAGATGGCTATAAGCTATTGTAAACAGGCAGCTTTCGTGGAAATTTACCAGCCTGAGTAGT